CACCATGTGTGTCCGCACAAAGTGAGAAGTGAATCACTACCTATGTTTATATTCTGCTTGCTTCTAACCGTATTCGTCGTGTAATTATTTCATATTCAGCGAAACGTGTGATAAGAAAATGAGATTCCAGTCATAAGGATTTCCACGCAAAGCTCCTCGTGACGTCACTGTGACTGTAGCATTCTGCTACAGTGAGGTTTTGTATCTTGTACGATATCTTGTTTAGAGCGTAGAGATACATTGTTGAGAACGCAGTGGTCGCGCCTGCACAGTGTGTGTGTGTGTGTGTGTGTGTGTGTGTGTGTGCGTGCGTGCGTGCGTGCGTGTGGGGGGGGGGGGGTGGAGAGCGGCGATAAAGTAAAATGAAATAATATATACGATTTGTGAAAATATGTTCGGCATTTATTCCGTTTCACTGTTCGCTCTTCGATGACAGACGCTCGAACGACAGGCCAGAACGCATTGCGATTGGCTGTCGACGCCCGTGCGCAAGACACCACTAATCGATAAAACCACTCCATCGATCGATACGTCACCTAACAACAACAACAACAACACACGCTCTGGCTCGGACTATGTACGATAGCTGCACTGATCATCTCTCCACACCGACACCGTTCTCGCGACCACTGTGTTCTCGCTTCCTCGACGAGTTGGTGTGGTGGGTGTGCGGGAGCGCAAAAAACACGCGAATTAAACCTTACATGGTTTTTTAAAATGGCGAGCTGGTCGCAATATCAATTCCTGGATTTATACGCACGTGTTCTTTTCCGTCAGGTGTGCGCATGCGCGGCTGACTAGAGTGCGGGGACACGAGACGAGGAAGGCGCGTGCGCGCACACGCCCCGAAGCTATACTCTAGTAGAATCAGGAGTGTATAGTAATATCTATTATTATACACTCCTGGTAGAATGACATAACGGTATCTAGCGCCACCATGCGACCCTGGCGGCAGCTTACACACACTCATCTTCTCTCACTCTTCACTCGCTGTCTCCAAGGCACCGTGAATAAATATATTAATAATAACGATAGTAACGGTGGTATCGGCACCACGGCCGCACGCTAGCTGCCAGGCACGATCTTGAGCAATAACTACGTTTATAAAATACACATTTGGCACTTATTTATTTTCATTTCTCTATAAAAAAAAAACAGATGCCGAGACGAAACACGGATGAATGTCATACGGCACGTAACAACCAACCACTTTTTTCTTACATTACATTTAAAAAAAGGAGCTAGAATGAGTTTTCCTCCCATTCTCTTCGATGACAGACGCTCTTCTCCCGTGGGGGGTGAGCAAGAATGTTTATATGGCTCCTAGCATACATGATACTATATACAACGCATATTTTATAGCATAGATATATACACAATTAATGTGTTGTATATATATATCTATGCTCCTAGCTATTGTAGGTAATGGCTGGATATATGACTTGACTGCATGGTACCTAGCTGTCCCTTCAGTCTCACACGCTCGATATAGGATATAGGCTCCTATTATATATATGTTATTAACAAAAAAATTCTTTCATAATTTCTCTTGTAAACACACTAGAAATGGCTAATTTACAATGGTGAATCTGCACAAAAAGTAGGCTTTCTTTGAAAATCCCTGGGCCGCCCAGCAAGCAACGCACGGCTCGTCGGACGAGCCGTTTACACTGTCGGATTCAGAAAACGTACATTCTAGTTTCTGAAATTAACAATTGCAAACAGAATTATAATCCTTTCTAATGAGAAATACAAAATTCTAGCGCACGTAGACACTGAAATACGAACTCATTCTGAGCCAGCGCTGCCCCAGCGTCGATTTGCCATCGTCATATACCATTGCCATGGAACGTGTGTGAGAAGGGACGCGGGTGGCAGTCAAGATCGATATGAGACACGTGACTCGGTGTTCGATCACTACCGGTTCATTACCCTGTTAGGTTAGCGGATGTGACGCGTCGTCGTCGTCATCGCTCTCTCTCTCTCACTCTCGCTAGGTGCATGGGTGAGTGAGTGAGTGAGACGCAGATTGAATGGTGGCGCCGCCCAGCGAATGAATGAAGCGGTACACTGAAAATTCTAAGTCTGGGCTGTCGAGTGACAGACCACCGTTGGCGTGGGATGTGTAAGCGGTCTTGTAACAGTGAAACGTCTCTCTTCGTTAATTCTACTATTTTGGACTGGAGTTTAATTATTACATTGCCTGCAATCTAGAAGGGTCAAATGATTAGTCTTCGAGTAGGATTTGTGCGCTATTTAAAACGCTATGCATTTATTTTTACATGCAAAACGATCATCGACATTCCTACTATTCATGTTATCTACATATATGCAGTGAACCGAGTATTTAACGGTTAATCACGAGGGAAACCTTCGCATGTCTTTTGTAGACGAGTGTCAGTATTATAGAAGTGGTTTCGCTGTATAACTGCTACTCAAGTAAAACAGCATAATATATAAGCATGCGTTATTGATCGGAATTTGTTTCTCCAGAGGTGTATACAGCAACGCAGCGCATCACCGTGTGTTGTTCTATGTGTCGTGAGAGAAGTGAATATCGGCGAATTCTAATTTGAATCTGAATTTCGATCGACTACAGCAGGGCATCGGTGCGGCGGTGTTCTATGGAGTATGTTCCGAGTTCGATGGCCTTCCTGAACAAAGCCGTTCTGAAACACGTACGGATTCAACTTCCGTTCTTTCATCATGACCCTGCAGATGCTGTTCTCGGCTGTCGTGTTAGAAGCGCTGCGACTAACCAACAAGGTACGTACGTACGCGCGTGAGCACGATGTCATTGTCACGATCACGCCCGAGGGGTGGCGGTGGTGCGTGTGAGATGTCACTGTGTGAGGGGGTGGTGGTGGGTGAGATGTCTTGGTGATATGCATGTAATTGTCTCTCTCTGACATATCAGCTATATAACTTTTATATATTAACTTTATATCTTAACTATGACTTATATATAACTATATAACTATAAACTCACTCCATATATGACTCCTTATTTGACTCTGTAATCCATATATATGGAATATATTATTCTGAATATGTTCCGAACCAGATGTGTTAGTAACATCTACAATTACCCCCCCCCCCTCGGTTTTNCGTATCTCATGATTAGAAGAATGTTTATATGGCTCCTATTGTAGGTATTAAATGGGAGGTAATGGCTGGATATATGGCCGGACATGTGGCGGCCATCTTTGTTTCGTATCTCATGATTAGAAGAATGTTTATATGGCTCCTATTGTAGGTATTAAATGGGAGGTAATGGCTGGATATATGGCCGGACATGTGGCGGCCATCTTGGTTTTGTATCTCATGATTGGAAGAATGTTTATATAGCTCCTATTGTAGGTATTAAATGGGAGGTAATGGCTGGATATATGGCCGGACATGTGGCGGCCATCTTTGTTTCGTATCTCATGATTAAAAGAATGTTTATATGGCTTCTATTGTAGGTATTAAATGGGAGGTAATGGCTGGATATATGGCCGGACATGTGGCGGCCATCTTGGTTTCGTATCTCATGATTGGAAGAATGTTTACGTGGCTCCTATTGTAGGTGAAATGAGGCAATTGAAGATGTATAGTTGCTTAGATATATAGATAGCTTGAGACCTTTGACCCTCAAAAGAGATTGATCTTTCAAACGATGAGATCGTAGGGCACCCGTGTGAGCGCCAATTTAAACACGAATAGCATAATAATGGACCTATCAGTCGAAGCGAGATTACCAAAAACTTAATTATACATAAACATTGTCGTTCGAACGACCCTATATATATCGCCACGCTGATTGGCCAAAGATACCTGCCAATCAACGCGGGCCAGATACAGTTTCTTGTCCTTCAATACAAGAATGACATACATGATGGAATCGATGAGTGTGTAGAATAACGGAGATGTATTAACCGCAGTTAATTGAAGCGCATTGTCTGACGTCATCCTCCCACTTTATCTCTCCCCTTACTTTTTCACTCCGCACATATAACTCTTATGTTATTCTCTCTCTAAAAGCAGTGGAGGGGTCAAATCCTACCGCAAAATTTCTACAGCTATTACCATTATTACGTTCTACGAGGAAGCCATCAGCGAAATAAATAATTTGGGGAAATAAAAAACCAAGACCGGTTACAAAAATGAGAAAAAAAGCAGCAATAAATCAGTGTTCTATATGCCGATCAGCTCCCAATCGCCATCTTGTTTTTTGATAATGTTGTCATGAGGACGTTGGTGCGAACGAGGCGTTAATATCGCCACCTAACGGCATCAAACTTCACAAAATGCAATGGAACGCGACTACGTGAACATGCGTCAAAATGCAAGAACGTGACATGTTTACAATCGGACCGCAACTCGCGTGACGTGGCGTGACGTGGGGTGACGTGGCGTGACGTATCGTGACGCACATGCCTTCTCATTCACACAGACGGTCACATTCATCCATTGATACGCTATACACTCATTCACGTGTACTCCACAGCGATTCAAAAACAGTTGGTTATTGACAGAGACCGCGACGACGTCACAACGCTACACAGAGGGCGCTGCTAGCAGCTCCCGCAACAGACAAGAGAACGTACAGAGGACACGTGACGTCACACCGACACATGATGTCATAACAACAGATGACGTCACGAGATCACCGCTCCGGAGTTTGAACGTTAATGACTTATTTTGGACAAGATGAGGTATTACAAACATCTCTGAAGATTCCACGGAAGATCGGACGATATTTAAATCATATCTATATAATCAAAACCTGCAGAATGGCGCCTAATAATGAAATGCTGTTACGATCTATTAAGCGGAAGTAAAGAAATTCCATGAGAGACAGACAGCCAGACAGACAGATAGATAGATAGATAGATAGATAGATAGATAGATAGATAGACGGATGGATAGATGGATAAATAAATGGATAGGTAGATAGATAGACAGAC